TTTCCCCTGAATGTGTCTTCTTATGATTCTTTAAAGTTTGCATCGTCATTAGACTTTTACCACAAARATCGCACACATAACTCTCCATTGGAAATGCATGCTTCTTCATATGTCTTTTAAAACTCTGCTTCGTGTGCATCACTTTGAAACACTCCTGACACGTATACGCAGTAGCGACGTATTCAGGATCGTGTCGTATCACATGCAGACGAAAATAATCTCGATCTTTGAAAGTTTTCTGACAAAACTGACACACTAATACAACACCTTCGTGTTGGATCTCTTTGTGCCTAATCACATCTCCTCGACTCATAAAACCCTGTCCGCAAACATCGCATTTAAAGGGAAAATCTCTCGTGTGGTGGCGAATCATGTGAATCTGAAGTCGGGTTTTATCCTGCGTTGCGTAGTCGCAAAGATCGCAAAAGGCACGTAAGATTTTGTCATGCTGGTATTGCACATGCTTGTTTAGTTCCGATGGTAAAATAAACATCAAATCGCATTGAGGACACTTGAATTTTTTCTCTCTATGGCGCAGACTATGTCTGCGTAGCAAATTATTAGAAGGGTAGATTTTGAAACAGACTTCGCACTGATACGAACTTCGAGGAGCAGCAAAGATGTATCTGTAAGAAAGGAACAACGTGAGTGTAGAAATACTAAAAACAAAAACTTAACGAATAAAGAGTGAAATAAATAATGTCGCACCCTTGAACAAAAATTTTATTTTCATCGAAATTACAAAACACAACAGTTCCGTTTAAACAAAGCAGAGTTTGATACGAATTTCTGACTACAGGATTGGTCTTTCTCCAGAACGACACCGGACGTGGATTTTCAAGCTGCCACTTTGCGAAAATGACTTATCACACTCTGTACATTTATAGAGTTTCTCCTTCGTATGCATTCTGAAATGCCCCAATAAGTTTTTCCTCGTAGTAAAAAACTTGCCACAGACATCACACAGATATTCCTTCTACCCAGTCTGTATCTTTTTATGCTTACTCAAACCCTCCATATTCACGAAAGTTTCCATCACCCCTGTATGCATCTGCATGTGTTTTTTAAATCTGTGTGTGACCTTAAAACACACTTAGCAAGTAAACGCGATCGAATGTGTTCAGGGTCGTGTCAGAGGACATGAGCTCAAACAGACTTCGGATTTTTAAATTCTTTTGAACAGATTTGGCACACGACGCTCCATGTGACTATTAAGATTTCCTTGACTCGGAAAACCCCAATGACACACTTCGCACATAAAAGGAAAATCCTTATAACATGTAAGCGAAGTCTGGTGTTGTCTAGAGTCGGAAAATCGCATAAATTGCAAAACGCCTTGAGAATTTTTCATGTTTGATTTGTTGCAACGTAAAGGTTTGATCACAGTTCGAACACTTGGACAGAAACAGAAAAAAAGTTGTGTCTGAAGTAAAAGATCAAGTTACAAAAAAAGAACCAAGCTAACATGCTTTTATTATAAATAGAATGAAAATGCACGAAAAAAAAAGAAAAAACATGTTTGGTGTTAAAGTTTACTATGAATCTCAAATACAAAAAAAAACTTTACAAAATCTGACATTTGTGGCTTTTGAGTGCAGCTCCTGAGGCAAATTTCTTATTGCACAAGTGACACTCGTAGGGTCTTTCGCCCGTATGCGTCCGCATGTGAACATTAAGACTGTTCTTCTGAGTGAACGCTTTGTCACACTCTATACACTTGAAAGGCTTCTCCTTGGTATGAACTCTTGAATGCATCACCAAAAACTCCTTCCTTGCAAATGTTTTAGCACACACTTCACACATGTGATTCTTCTCGCCTGTGTGTTGTTGCCTGTGATTTTTCAAACTAGCCGAAGTCGCAAAAGTTTTCCCACAAATATCACAAACACTCTTTCCTTCCTCCCTGTGTCGTTTCATATGTTTCTTTAACGTTTCCGCACTCCCCAACACTTTCAAACATTCCTTGCAAGTGTATTTAGTTGTGACATAATCAGGATTGTGACGAGCAACATGGCGTTGGAAATAAATCGGGTCTTTGAACATGTTTGAGCAAACCGAACAAATCAGTCGTAGACCTTCATGATCGATTCTTTTGTGACGAGCCAAGTATAACTTAGACATGAAACCTTTATCACACAAGTTGCACTTGAATGGGTAGTCTCTAGTGTGGTGGATGATTATATGGGCCCTAAGAGCCCCTTTAGTCTTTGACACGTGATTGCAAATAGAACATTTCTCTGCTGGAGAGTCGTCGTGTCGGTTTTTTATGTGATGTTTCACCTCTGACGTTGTGTGAAACATCTTCTCGCACGAAGGACACTTGTGTTTCCTCTCTTTGTGGCGGTGCATGTGTCTGGTGTGCATCTCTCGTTTCGGAAACGATTTATTACAAATTTTGCACTCGAATGGATTTTTAGGTATTCCTATTCCCAATCTGAAACAAAAAAATAATTAAAAAACAAATCATTAAATCACACATTTTTCACACAAACACTTTTTTGTTCACTAAGATGAGCAAGTTGTGCCTGAAATGAAACATCTAATTAAAAAAATAATGAAACAAAATTATTTTTTATTGCATTTTAATCATAAATAAAAATTGGACATAATTCAAACATTTCACTTTATGTGTTCTAAAATTTACGTAAATTTAGGCGAAAATTTACTAAATCTGGCATTTATGGCTATTGAGGGCCGTTCTTGAAACAAATTTCTTGTTGCACAATTGACATTCGTAGGGCCTTTCGCCCGTATGAGTCCGCATATGAATATTAAGACTGTTCTTCTGAGAGAACCCTTTCTCGCACTCTATACACTTGAATGGCTTCTCCTTAGTGTGCACTCTTATATGCATCACCAACAACTGCTTCGTTGTAAATGCTTTCGCACAAATTTCACACATGTAATTCTTCTCGCCTGTGTGTTTTTTCCTATGAGCCTTTAAACCACTCAAAGACGTCAAAGTTTTTCCACAAATATCACAAACACTGTTCGCTTTCTCACTGTGCTTTTTCATGTGTCTCTGCAAACTCTCCCAACTCGCCAAAACTTTCAAACATTCCTTGCAGGTGTATTTAGTTACAACATGATCTGGATTATGTCGAGCCATATGGTGTTGAAAGTTAGCCTGATTTTTGAATATGCCTGAACAAACCGAGCAAATTAGTCGTAGACCTTCATGGTCGGTTTTCTTGTGCTGAGTCACAAGTTTCTTCGATAAAAAACCTTTATTACACAAGTCGCACTTGAAGGGATAGTCTCTAGTGTGGTGGACYACTGTGTGAACTTTAAGAGCCCCTTTAGTTTTGAACGTGTAATTGCAAAGAGGACAGTTCACTACCGACGAGTTTTCGTGCCGGTTTCTCACATGGACTTTCACCTCTGATGGCTGGTGAAACATCAAATCGCACAAGGGACATTTGTGTTTTCTCTCTCTGTGTCGCTTCATGTGTCTGGTATACTTCGCTCGTTTAGGAAACGATTTATTACAAATTTTGCATTCGAATGGATTAGGATGCACTTCGGTGTCCAGTCTGGAAGATAAAGACAATCTTAATTAAAAACTGACACAAATATTTCACTTGGCTACAATTGCATCTATTCCTACCAAAAATACAAAGACAAAGCTACACATTTTTCACACAAACACTTGTTTAAAAGTTTGACAGAAGTAAAAATATATATCACTCGCTTCGCCCGTGCACAAAATAAACTTTCCCAAGCCCCCTTTCAAAAACCAATGGGAAAAACACCACATGTTAAAGTATTTATTTATCTTACACAAAAACAAGTTGTAATAAATTGGTAATGACACTTTAAAAAAAATAAAAATAAAACACAATTCTGCATAAAAATATTTATTTAAATTTTCTTGGTAACAGTCAAACATAACTAAAATAACACTAGATATGTGTCCTTCTATGTTTCTTCAGTTGCCTCAAAGCAATGAACTTCCCACAAATATCGCACCTTTTCTTATTACTAACTGACTTGACTTGCGTCGAAGTTCCGTGTTTCTCTTTCACGTGAACAACTTTGTGTAAATAATAGTCATTTTCACTTGAAAACGTTTCTGAGCACAAATTACACGGTATTTTACACGGCAGTTGAACAACTTTCACTTGATTAGAACACGTCTTAGTCCTAATAGGAATTATCCTTGGGGCGTAAGACTGTGGTGATTCATTTCGTTCTTTCACGTGTATAACCTTGTGTAAGTAATATTGAGTTTCGGTGAGAAATGACTGGTTGCAAAGATTGCAGGGAAGATACACGTGTCCATTGTACCTGAAAGAAATTGAAATTATTAGCAGTCAAAACAAAGTACAATTACTAGAAATAGATTCGCCGCCAAAACAAAAATATGAAAATTTCAAAAAATCTGTTTATTGTATTTCAAACTTAAACAATAAGAAAAACTTATTATTTTTTCCAAATGGAAATAAAACACACACGTCCACGAAGCCACTGTCATAAACTCCTTTGAATGTCTTAAACTTATCACAAAAATTGTCTGTCTCAGAAGCAACAACAGCTCCGCCGATTAGAGACTTAGACCTATGCTCAAGTCTCTTTTTGACAACGCCAACTCACAAATATCACAATACAATTATTTACAACTTGTGGCTCCGTTTATGCTTCTCCAGCGATACTTTAAGTACGAATTCCTTGCAGCAAACCTTGCACTTATGTTTCTTAATATAAGGGTGTCGTCGCGCCATATGAGTGGATAAAACGCGCACTGTCTCAAATTTCAAAGTACAAATATTGCATGAGAATGGTAAATAAAATATGAAAGGGTCTATTTTCTGATGAATCCCCGAAATGTGGTCCTGGAGGTCCTTCTTCGATGTTGCAATAAAGCTGCAAGAAGGACACTTCATAAAAGCAGGTAAAAGTAAGTAGGGTGTCTGCCACCTGAAACAAAGTTTTTGTTGAACAAAATATAAAAAAACCGGTTTATTCAATTTTGAAGCACTAAAAAAATATTAAAACAACTTTCTCGTAACAAATAATTTATTAACACCCAAAAGTATGGAAACAGGTACATAACATAGCTTCTGTGAAGAAATCGAAAATAAAATAAAAAACATTACGACCTGATAACAAAAACAACTAGTCAACAATGGGTTTACACTTATGCTGAGTCAGCCTAGACCCTGAGATAAACTCTTCTAAACACACACTGCACTTGTAAGGCCTCTCCCCTGTGTGTTTCCTCATATGCACCTTAAGTGCCGGTTTAGTATTATGTCCCTTCCCGCACACATCACACTTGTGCGGTTTTTCCTCATTATGTGTCAACATATGACTCTGAAGCGCCTGATTCCTGGCAAAAGCCTTGCCACAAATCTCACAAATATGTGTCTTAAGCCCCGTATGACTCTGCATGTGCACCGCCAATTTGGCGTAACTCTTCCCACACACGTCGCACATTTGCCCTTCTCTTTGTCCATGATGCGCCTTCACATGTCTTTCAAAATCCCTCGCGTTTTGTATGACTTTCGAGCAAATCTCGCAGGTGAATCCGGTTTTAGGCTGATTGGGATCATGAGTTTTGAGGTGTGTCCTCAGACCTGCCTCGTATTTGAACACCTTTTTGCAGATTTCGCAGACGTAGCGAGTGCCTTCGTGCACCGACTTGTGGTGGATGTCGAGAGACCACTTCTTGGCATACCCTTCACCACATAGCTCGCATCTGAAAGGGTAGACTTTGGTGTGTTTGGCCACGATGTGTAACCGCAAAATAGACTTAGTAGGGGCGGCGTGGTTGCACATATCGCAGATYAACCGCCGGTTTTCGTGATGTTGCGAAATGTGCTCTTTGAGGGTGTAGTTGTCGTAGAGGTGTTTGTCACACTGAGGGCATTTTATTTTGGGTGCAAAGTGGCGGCGGCGGTGAATATTCAATTGGCTTTGGAATCTGTACGAACGGTGGCAGAGATCACAGGAGAAAAGTTGTTTAATTTGAGGCTCGAAATGACGGAGGCGGTGGTTGTTAAAGTGGCTTTCGTATTTGAACACACGAGAGCAAAGATCACAAGGATAAGAACCGATCATTTTCATTTCGTTTGATCTACAAGCAGTGGTTTTTCTAAACGGAGTACAATTTAACCAACTTACAAAAAATTCTCCTCTTTGGGCATTACCATCATTATGAAATTAGGATTAGTGTGGGTTTCTCTGTGCATTAAAAGTTCTTCTGCCCTATCGAAAGAAGAAGWGCAAAAGTCGCACATGTAAGCCCACTGACCATTRTTCTTCACAAGYCGGTATCTAAACCTGCAAAAAACTACAGTTAATARAATTTRCATTTTWACTTMGAAAATAAATTGTCTCACTTCTGGAAATTWGCAGCCAAACTCAAGTAGCAAAASAACAYTTTTATTGAACAAGTTACAAAATTAAACACCACAGATTCGAAATAACCATACATTTTTCGTAGCTGCACCTATTTTTCAACACTTTTTTYCATCGCTCACAACAGTAAGAAGTRTTTTTATCATCAGACAAAATGTGTGAATTTATAGCTAAATCTAGAAACTCCTCAAGATACTTTTTAGAACGAACACAAAAGACACAAATATCAAAAGAATATAGTCTACAAAGAGAATCCAGTCAGAACACAAGTGAAACAAATAGGTAATTGGTAGAAATATTAATCCAAAAATCATCATTTCAAAACTGGTGCAAATTAATACAAAGTAGTCAAAAAGATAACATTTTATTAAGCGTTTTAAAAATTTACAGACAAAGACAATATACACTAGGCCACTCTGCATTTATGCACCTTCATTGCGCTTTTCGAAACAAAAGATTTCGAACAAATGTCACACTTGTAGGGCCTTTCCCCAGTGTGTAACCTATTGTGTATGACCAAACTACTCCTCTGACTAAAACACTTGCCACACACTTGACACTTGTGTGGTTTTTCCTTCGTGTGCACCCTCAGATGTACTTTTAGGATCATCCGACTATTAAAAGCTTTGCCACAGACATCACAGATGTAATTTTTTTCGCCCGAATGTGTAGTTTTATGTAGTCTTAAACCACTTAAAGTGCTACAACTTTTGCCACACACATCACAAACGTAATCATCAGACACTCCATGCTTGCGCTTCAAYTGATAAGACAATTGCGTCTTCCAGTCAAAAATCTCGTGACATAGCTCGCACTTGAAGACTTCTTGGACATGATCAGGATCATGTTTCTGAACATGAATTTTYAAGTGTGCTTGGTCTTTAAACATTTTACTGCAAATTTCGCAAATCAGTCTTTGGCCCTCGTGCTGGAACTGGCGGTGGCGTTTGAATTGGGTCTCTTGGAAGTAGCCCAAATTGCAAAGGTCGCATTTGAAAGGATAATCTTTTGTGTGAACACTGATTTCGTGCGATTTTAAAGAAGCTTTGTAGTTGGTCCGATAATCGCAATAGGTGCAACAGAAATTGCGCTGTTGCTCGTGAACTGTTCTGATGTGGTTTTTTAAGTGACAGCGAGATACAAAAGCTCGTGAACAGTAATTGCATTGAAAGAATTTCTCCCGGTGGTAATACTGATGCTTTTGGAATTTACGTCTGTCCATAAATATCTTAGGACAGCCGGGACATTGAAACGGAGGCTCACTGTCCATATCTAATATGCAGATTCTGGAAAAAAACATGTAATAAGTTAACGAATTATACGCTTCTGGCACTAGGGAAATAAAACACAAGCAAAAAATTCAAACTTTATATCCAAGTGAAACTGGGCTACAACTATATCCTAAACACAAAAAAACTAACAAATTTTTTTTGGTTCTCAACCAATTTGTAACAAAAAAACACTGGTAGATATTTTTTTAGTACGATCTAGTAAAGACACATTACACAAGCATCTTGTGTTGTTTTTTCAGGTGGCTATTAAGCAAACTCTTGGCTACAAACCGTTTTTGACAAATCGTACAACCAAATGGCCGTTCCTTGCTATGCGCAACTTTCACATGAATGGTAAGAGAACTCTGCTGCGTATATTTTTTACCACAAAACTTACAAACACAAGGTTTTTCACGCGTGTGCACTCTTTGGTGAACTCTCAACAGCTCAGTACTGACAAATCTTTTCCCACAATAGTCACAAACAATCGGCTTTTCTCCCGTGTGCACCATCAAATGTATTTTAAATCCAACGGATGTCATTAGAACTTTTCCACAAATCTCACACAAAAGATACAAGCGGTCGTGCCTTATTTTCTTGTGGGCTTGAAGAGCCCGTTTCGATGAGAAGATTTTCTCACATATGGAACATTGCACTTTCGCCGGTTTTTCATAAGCTTTATCATGTTGTGTCTTCTTATGCTGATCTAAGTAATTCCAAGCGACTAGTTTCTTGCAAATGTTGCATGCGACTTTTTCAGAAAAGTGTTGACTGTAATAGTGGTTTTCAAAGAGTTTCTTACAATCGCCAACAAATATTTCACCACAGAGTTCACAGATTATCTTCTTGTGGATTTTTTTATGATAAGCTAGGGCAAAATAAGCGTCGAATTTTTCYTCACACTCACTACAGYGGTACATATTGTTTTGCGCATGCATTTTACTATGAAACAGTAAAAGTATTTTGTTTGAAAAAGTCTCACTGCAGTATTCACAAAAATAGTTTCTAGCGTGTAGCTGTTTCCGATGTTGGCGAAGAAGATCAACCGATGAAAAATACAAATGGCATACTCGGCAATAGTAGCAACTTTTCTTAAATTCTTCTTTAATCACAACTGAGGAATATCTGTAAAAAATACGTTAGATATAAAAATATAAAAAGCTCGCCCCTACAATCAACAAAAAAAATTTCAAATATAATCTTTTTGCTTGTAGCATTTTAAGTAAAGAAAAATGTTTTTTTAACATTCTAAACGCAGTAAAAAAAAGTTTGGAAACCACAATTGGTAGTGAAAATAACATTTGAGTAAGAAAACAACAAATCCATAACCATTTATTAGAAAAAATATTTACAGAACTGGTTTATTTTGTGTGTTGCTTTGTATGCCTGTTAAGACTACTCTTTTGCGTGAAAGTCTTAGCACAAAATGAACACTTGTAAGGTCTTTCCTTCGTATGAATTCGGATATGGTCTGCCAGAGTGGACCTCTGCGCAAAAGCCTTTCCYCAGTAATCACAAACGTACGATTTTTCCCCCGCGTGTATTTTCTTGTGTGCCTTTAAACTACCCAAAGTAGTCAAAATCTTGCCACAGAGGTCACAAACGTATGTCTTCGCCTCTCCATTATGTTTCTTTACGTGTGTTTGAAAGTGTGACCTTGAGTGAAAGATTTTACGACAGGTTTGACAAGTGTACACTCGTTGTACATAATCCGGGTTGTGTTTTTCCACATGAGAGTGAAAACTCTTCTCATCGCAAAACATTCTCTTGCAAATTTCACACACGAAACATGTGCCTTCATGTTTTCGTCGGTGGTTCTCCAAACTAGTTTTTTGGACATAACCCATAGGACACTTGTCACATTTAAAAGGGAAGTCTCTTGTGTGAATCGAAATCATGTGAGTTCTAAGTGCGTTTTTTAAATACGCGGAAAATGGGCACAAAGAGCAGAAAAAATTGCGTTGTTTGAGATGTCTGCTTTTGATGTGAGTATTGAGCTGGTAGTTYGAGAGAAAACGTTTGGTACATAAGTGACACTGAAAATTCTTTTCGTTGTGTTGGTATACGTGCTTCTGAAGTTTTCTTTTAGTTGGGAAGGTTTTGTAGCAACTGGGACAAGGAAAAAGTACTTGTTTAGCATTTTCAAGAGCAGATGACCTGGAATAGAGAAAAATGTTGTTAATAGGAAAAAAATAAAAGACAAAGACTAGTTCTGACAAATTTACTAAATTTTCTCCTTAAGTTCTAAATAAGTCAACTGTTTGGTAAAAATATTTATTTGCAAATTCGAAATTCCCTAGTACACAACACTTCTAGGTCAAAAGCGTAACACTTTTCTAGCACAAACTAGTCAAATAAATTTCGTTTCAAAAATTACCTTAAAAATTCTTATTAAATCATACAAAATGTAAAAAAGTTTTAATTTCGTTAAAATAAACACATACAAAACTGTCCTTTGTTTTTAGTCAGTATGTTGCTTCATATGTCTGTTTAAACTGCTCTTCTGAGTAAACGCCTTCTCACACACATTACAAACGTGGGGTCTTTCCTTGGTGTGAATCCTGATGTGGTCCCTCAGCGTATTTCTCTGACTAAAAGTTTTGCCACAATAATCACAAATGTAAGACTTCACTCCCGAATGGATCAACTTATGCGTTTTAAATCCCTCTCTAGTAAACAATTTCTTTCCACAAAGATCGCACATAAACGTCTCAACTATCCCTTCATGTTTTCTCAAATGCTTCTTGAAAGACGAAGTAGAACGGAATACTTTTCGACAAGTCTGGCAAGTGAAGACCTCACGAATGTAATCAGGATTGTGTGTTCGTAAYTGTGTGGTAAAATTCCCTCTATCAGCAAACATCTTTTTGCAAATTTCGCAAAAAAAGCGCTTGCCGTCGTGTTTCTGGCGGTGTGCCTCCAAAGCTCCTTTGCTCAAAAACCCAGAAGAACATATATCACACTTAAAAGGAAAGTTTTTGGTATGAACACTAATTTCATGACCCTGAAGACTGTATTTTGTGTAAGATGAAAATGGGCAAAGCGAGCAGAAAAAGTTGCGTTGTTTGTCGTGACTACGTTTAATATGAACACTGAGCAACTTCTCTGTTAAGTAGCATTTCGTGCAAAGATTACACTGAAAAGACTTTTCTCTGTGTTGTTTCAAGTGTCTACGCAAACGTCTTCTCGTTAAGTAGGTTTTTTGACACAGAGAACACACTATTTCGTTGACATTTGTGGTAGAAGTTAACCTGAAAAAGTAGAAAATTAGCAACGAGTAATGTGGCCCTAAAAATTCTACTGACAATCACAAAACAATACAACTGCAGACAAGCCTTGAGAGATTGCAACTTAATTACTGCTAAAATAAGTTGAATCAGGTTACTTTAAGCACAACACTAACTCACAAAACTCTTCCCACGAGTCATTTTTTAAACAAGTTAGTTTTTGCTGTAAGGATTATTATACAAAAATACATACAAATATTTTCTAAAAGTAACTGAATTTTATTTGAGCAACAATATATACATATAAAACAAAATAAATACAACAAAATCGAGTAAATACACCTTTTGAATCTACTTAATAGTACTCAAAAAATTAAAATAACGACAATATACAAAGATTTCCATAAAACTATCTAAAAATTAAAATAAAAGAGATTTTAAACAACATATTGTACCTCGTGGCTGCATAAG